TTTTTCTTCATTTTTTCCTTCTAATTAATTATTTTATGATATATTTTTTCTTAAATATTTAAAAAGTTGGAATTAAATTGGTGACAAAGGTGCATCAGGCTTAGGTTCTGGTTTAGCAAATTGCATTAATCTCTCAAATTTGACACTTATCCTTCGGTAAAAACAGTTTATTTGTTTTGGATTGTGATATTTTGAATTATAAAAACTAATTAAAAACAATAAAGCTCTTTTTTCTTTTTCTTTTTATTGTGCTTGCTTTTTTTTGTTCTTTCTTTGTTAATTTATTTAGCTCATCCTTTGATTTTCAAATTTTTTACTTTTATTATTAATGAATTAATCTTATTATTTCATATTTTTCTCCATTTTTTCCTTCTAATTAATTATTTTATGATATATTATTTCTTCAATATTTAAAAAGTTGGAATTAAATTGAAGACAAAGGTGCATCAGGCTTAGGTTCTGGTTTAGCAAATTGCATTAATCTCTCAAATTTGACACTTAACCTTGGGTAAAAACAGTTTATTTGTTTTGGATTGTGATATTTTGAATTATAAAAACTAATTAAAAACAATAAAGCTCTTTTTTCTTTTTCTTTTTATTGTGCTTGCTTTTTTTTGTTCTTTCTTTGTTAATTTATTTAGCTCATCCTTTGATTTTCAAATTTTTTACTTTTATTATTAATTAATTAATCTTATTATTTCATATTTTTCTCCATTTTTTCCTTCTAATTAACTATTTTATGATATATTTTTTCTTCAATATTTAAAAAGTTGGTAATTAAATTGGTGACAAAGGTGCATCAGGCTTAGGTTCTGGTTTAGCAAATTGCATTAATCTCTCAAATTTGACACTTAACCTTGAGTAAAAACAGTTTATTTGTTTTGGATTGTGATATTTTGAATTATAAAAACTAATTAAAAACAATAAAGCTCTTTTTTCTTTTTCTTTTTATTGTGCTTGCTTTTTTTTGTTCTTTCTTTGTTAATTTATTTAGCTCATCCTTTGATTTTCAAATTTTTACTTTTATTATTAATTAATTAATCTTATTATTTCATATTTTTCTTCATTTATTCCTTCTAATTAACTATATTATGATATATTTTTTCTTTAATATTTAAAAAGTGGAATTAAATTGGTGACAAAGGTGCATCAGGCTTAGGTTCTGGTTTAGCAAATTGCATTAATCTCTCAAATTTGACACTTAACCTTGAGTAAAAAAGTTTATTTGTTTTGGATTGTGATATTTTGAATTATAAAAACTAATTAAAAACAATAAAACTCTTTGAATTTATTTTATAGTTTTTATTTGATTTATTTTTTTATCTTTATTATACCACTAATGCTATTTTATTTATTAATTTAAGAAATATTTTTTAATTTAAAAGTTTATTCTATTTTGATATTTATTTAAAATTTACACAAATTTATTATAAAATATTAGCAAAATCAAGAAATCATAAAAATTGAAAGTTATAAGCAAGTGTCTTAAATCAAAAAGATTAGTTGTCTTTAAAAATTGATTCTGATTATAAAGAAGTCACGAAAAAAGGATGAATAAATATTAAATGTTTGAATAATATTATATAATATTTTGAAAAGTTTTTTTAAATCTAAAATAAAACAAATAGATAGATTTTTTATTGATTTATATTTATAAATATCATTCATATCTATTTTTGTAAGTAAATAAATTATTTATAAAAAATAAAAAAACTAAATTTACTTAAATTAATTAATTACTCTTAAGCAACCCTTTAGTTTCTCCAAAAACGATCAAATAATTTGAAACTTTTAGTGTTATATTATTTCTTAATATATTATATAAATTCCAAGCTTTTATATTCCAGTTATATTTTAATCTGTAATATTATCCATCAATCATATTTCTATCTTTTTTTATTTATCATGATTAAATAAATACCATGATTTAAATAAAACCTCTGGGAGAAATCAAATTTTACTTTTTATTTTAACTTTTGTAGTTATTTTTAAATTAAAAATTTCTATTTTATCATAAATTAACCTTAATTATTCAGTTCCTACAGTATTATTATAATACAAATTAATAAATTTTAATACACAAATAAAATATTAAATTGATTTATAAATATTTAAAGTTGTTATAGAAAAAAGAAATGTTTATCAAACAATTTCTATATCAAAATTAATCAGCCTTTTCAATTTTCTGAGCTTAACAAAAAGCTTCTTGATCTATTATTCATATTTTTCTTCCTGGCTTTATAATATATGAAATAGCAAATAAATAAATAAATAAATAAATAAATAAATAAATAAGTAGGTTATTTTGCTAAAGAGGTTTAAAATTTTACTAAAAAAGTAGTTTGATGTTTTTAAGATTCTTATATTTTAGCAATGCATCAGCAATATTCTAAATATATTTATCTTCTAAAACTGATTGTTCGCTTTAAAATTTTTAAAATGAATTTTTTAGTTATATTTTTTTATATCAAAAGTCAGTTTTACTCAAGCCAAAGATATAGAGATAATAAAGAATTACTGCTAGATAATCCAGATATTAGATTTTATAAATTACCATCTCCCCTTAAATTGAATAAAATAATTTTAATTAGAGAATTAGATGAAAGTAAATGTTGCTTTAAAAATAAGTTATAGTTTTTAGATTATTTTTTAATTAAAAAATATTATATTACTAAAACCATAGCTCTAAAAATTAAGTATTTAATTATTCACTTATTGTTTATCCTACTTTAAATGCACTTTATTAACAACAACTTTCTAAACTTTATATAAAATTATTAAAAAAAAATAAGTATCTTTGTTTCATTTTGTAAATAAAATAACAATCAATTAAATTTGGTTGAATTAAAGGAAAAAATATTTAATTAAATTTAATGAAAAATAGTTAGTTACGTCATATAAAGTGTTAAATGAGTTAGCTTAACACACTTGGATAAAGCTATGAAAAAAGAAGGTAAGCATTCTTCACTGAAACCGTTTTGACTATAAATTTATATTATAAATAATAATTAAATCCTTTAAAAATTTATTACTCAAAATTTATTTTAAATAATAAAAAGATATCTAAATTAAAATAGAAAGAACATTTATTTTTATTTAAATTTTTAACTAACAATTTAATAATTAATATTATTTAAAAAACAAGCTAATCTATTTATTAATTACTCAATATACATTTTTAGGCATTCCATATTTTTGCACTATGAAAGTATTAAACCTAGTTGATATAAACCTTCATCTCCAATCTTTAAGTATCTTTAATTTAATTTAATTAAAATAAATAAAATATTTTTTTGTTTTTTTAGAAAAAAGTATTTTTTTTCAATTAAAATTAAGCCAAATTTTTTATATTTGTTTTTAAAAAATTGCGAAAACAGTTCAGAAAAATGCTAAATTTAAATTACTATTTTTTAAATTAAGGGGTGGGATAAGGGGGATACTTTAGAGTTGAAAATTTTTAAAAATAAGTACATACTTTCTCTTTGATAAAAATTGATCTTTTTGAAAAATAAAATATTGAAGCACCTCCTCTTTTATTATTCTTATTAATAAAAATTTAATAATTAAGTAAACTAATGAACTAACCTGAAATCTATTGCTAATTAAGTTAGATTTGTTATTTAAGTTAAATCAAAATCTAAAGAATCTTTTGTGTTTTAGTTAATTTAGTCATGAGATTCTTCAGTCAAAATTTACTCAGCTTATTGAAATCTATTTATTTATAATATTTATTTTACTTAAATTTTATGCTTTGAAAAAATATAAAAATTTGCGAGTAACTAGCTAGCTAATTAACTAAGTATTTTAAGCCAATTCATAAAAAATTATTTACGCTAAATAAATTTCTAAATTGACTAATTTAGAGCATTTAGAAATGCCAGAATATAAGCTATTAGCTCCTTTTATCTTAATTTAATTACGACTAATAAATAAATAATAAAATTTTTAAATAAAATTAAATGAGAAAATCTATTATTATTAAATTTAATTTAATGTTATCATTAAAAATTTATAGATAGTTACTAAAGCTCAAGTATCAAAGAAGTTAGATTACTGCATTTTGATAAAATTAAACCTAAAGCAGAAGCTCCTTCATCACAAATAAGATTGCCACTATATTAATAAATTAATTAATTTATTTATTAAAATAAAGATTCTGATTAATATATATATATAAAATACAATTTTAATTTTTTAAATTATTAGATTTTATTTTAAGAATAGCTGAAAATAGATATATATAGTAAATAAAATTGTTTTCATATCCCAATAAAAACTTTTAAAAATATAAATAAATCATTTTTTATAGCAAAATTTTTAGATTAAAAAAATTAAAACTTTAATATTAGACTTGAGTATTTTAAAAAATTCTTTTAAAAATGTAAACATTTAAATGAAGGGCTATTATAAAAATTAATTTAATTTTACTCCAGATTAACATTGAGAGTGGTGAGGCTTTAGCATTTAATTAAAGCAGAGAATATTTTGGTTAAATTTTATTTTTCAATAAAACTAGATCTGTTAAAATAATATTAAAAAAAAATTAGTATGTATTAATTACAATTAAAGTGAAAGTCTAATTTATTTATTTATTTACCTGAGAAAAAGTTTCAAGTCAACTAAATTTATGCATCCAGCTAAACCATCACTAAGTTAATTAACTTCATTTTATTCATCAGCTAATAACCTTTTAAATAACAATGAAAAATAAAAAAATTAATTATTATTTCAAATTAAATATTTGAAATATAAAAAATGAAAAAGATTTCTGAATTTCGATTATAATTTTAAAAATATTTAAAATTAATTAGATTAGATTTATTTATTTTAATAAGCTGTAAAATATTTTTAAAATTAATGATTTAAATTAGCTTGCTTGATCTTTTTTAAATAAAAAAACATAAAATTAATTAGTAATAATTTAAATATGAATAAAGTAAGTAAATTACGCAAAGTTTAATTATAAATTCTGGTGATCAACCAAATTAGATGTAACAAACTTTTAATTAAAAAAATCTGTTAATTTTGACTAAAAATATGGAAAATCATATACACTTTGAAGCTAATCAAATTCTGTAGTATTTTAATTCATTTTATTTTTTGTTAAATAATAGATAGATAGACCAATAGTAATTTAATTCAAAATAATAAAGTATCTAAAATTATTTAACTTATTATTTATTATTTATCAAATATTTTTTATTTATTTAAAATTATTAAAATAAAAATAATTTGCTTTTATTTTTTAAATTTCAGTTAAGAGATATTAGAATAATGCTAAATAAAATTAAAAATTTCACAGCAATAAGAATTGGAGCAGTTAAGTAAGCACTTAAAATTCTAAAATCATTCAATTATCTTGATTTAATTAGAATTAGCCTTGGGTATTGGATATGAGCGGGAGAAACCAATTAATAAACTATTAATAATACAAACAACTACAAAGAATTGGCGCACATTAATAAATTTCAATATAAAAGATCAATTTAAGAGATAAGATAATTAATGAGGATAAGATTTACTTTATGTATTTATACATAATAAATATATCTATCTATCTATCTAGCTGATATTCCTTTTATTTAAATATATGATAGAAAGATATACTTTTAATTTATTCATTCATTTATTTAATTATAAATTAAATAATTAATTGAGTCAAGGATTTCTTAATTATGAAAGAAAGTTAATAAAGAATATACATACATACCTACCTTTATTGTTTTTAAGTTAATATTTTGCATTCATTTTTGTATGACAATTATCAATTTATTTAATAAAATAATGCTAATTATTTCATTCATTATTTAAACACAACAAATTAATATATCATTTAGCAGTTCTTAATTAAATAAAGGCAAATAATATATACAGAGAGAAACAGGAAGAAACAAACAAAGAAAGAAAGAAACAAATAAACAAACAAACAAATAATCAATCAAACAAACAAACAACAAAGAAACGTTTATTTTTTATTTATCAAGCAAGAAAGGAGAAGTCCATTTGATTATCAAAACGAAAAATATTAAAGCATCATTAAGGATATATAGAAAACAAATTAGACATATCACAATTGCAAATAGGTGTAAGTTTTTTAGTGATTAGTTAATATTAAATATCTATCTGCCTATTCAATTACTTAAATTAGTTTAAAATTGTGAATTCATTTTATTTCTGATATAAAAGGAGAAGCCATGAGTTCGGAGTAGGATAAAAACCAAACAAGTAGCAAGGACTCTAATGAAAATTAAAATGAGACTTAGCAAGAAGGTAAAAAGGCAGTAAATAAAAAAGGAAGCTAAAAAAAAGATAAAAATGGATCTTCGGCAAGTGCACAATAAGATAAAGCTAGCAAAGAGAATGAAAATGAAGATCTAGATATGATAAATGAAAATTCTGATAATTAGCAAGACAATATAGATTAGCATGAAAAAGATGAAGATAATAGAAACTAATCAGGTAACAATTTCAAGACAAGCTATATATAGCTTTTTATATTTTTTTAATAATTTGTGTTTTACAATTTGTAGAATGAATTAATAGAGATATTTATTTTTAATTTTAGAGCAGGATTATTTATAAAGAATCAATTGAGTATTTGTCTTAATCAGAATTAATATTAATAGGTGAAAACAATTCTTTTTTCAAGTAATCGCAAGAGGAAACTGAAAATTAGAATAACTAAAACGAAAGCAATTTATAGCGTAGATTATCTTCAAGAAAGCGTAAAGAAAAACATATTGACGATATGGATTTTGGATATAGAAAGGCAGTAACTCCTGTTAAAAAAATTAAGAAAAGCAAGTCAGCAGACCCCAAAGCTAAGAAGGAATAGCCTTAAAAGAAGAAAGCTCCCTAGGTTCAAAAGTAATAGCAAGCTTAATCTGCTTAGCAGTAGGATACTTCTATAAATTAATAATAAAACTAGCAAAGTGCACAGAAATAATAAAAAACACCTATCAAGCAGTAATAGAATAAATGCAAAATATCTATTAATATTTAAATATTTTATGTTTAAAAAGAGATAAAAAAGGTAAAGAAGTGAAAAGGGAAAATAAAACTCCTATAAAAAATGAAAAAGCTGAAAAGACTTCGAGTGAAGGTAAAGGATAAGAATAAAAAAGCGAATCATCAGTTAAGAGAGATAACAATAAAAGGCCAAATCTTTTTAAAAAGACAAATAGCAGTGCTTTGGCAGCTGCTAAAAGCAATGAGAAAAAGCCAACTTAATAAAATTAAAGCTCAATATTGAATTATATGAATAATTCTGCTTCGAAAAAATAGAAAGACAATTTAAGTATAGCATCAGATCTTACAGCTTCAACTGAAAAGGAAACAAAGAATTCAAAGAACACTGTAAGCAAAATCAAAGAATAAATGAAAGAAAAAGCAGAAAAGGAATAGTTAGAGCAAAGATCAGAAAATAAAAAGCATGATAAGATAAAGCAAAAGGAAATCATCAAACAAGAAAAGCTGTAAAAAAAGTTAGAAATGAAAATAGAAAAGGAAGAGAGAGATAAAAAGAAAGCCTAAGAAAAGCTAGAAAAAGAGTAGCAGTAATTAGAAGAGCAAATGTATAAAAAAGAAAAGAAAGAAAAATTGAAAAAAAATCCTAATAAAAGAATATTTAATCCTTAAGAATACAATGAAAATCTTAAAAAAAAGATTCAATTAGAAGGTTAATTACAAGAACTCTATGATTAATATGGTAGAAAATTAGAAAAAGTACATGAACCTAAGTAAAACTAGACACATTGGGATTATATATTACAAGAAATAGTAAGATTTATTTATTTATATATCATTAGAATTCCAAATAAATATTTTCAAAATTATGACTAGAATACAATTTAATTGTTGTAAAATGTTAGAATAAAATTTAAAGTTAAGTGAATAGATTAATACCTTTGATAATAAAAAACAATTAATTAATTAATTGAATTCATCGTTTAAATAGATTAATTAATTCTAAAAAATTAAAAATAATTATTACATGTGTTGATTAATCTTAATTAATTATAAGAATTTATTTAAATAGAAAACAAGAAAAAATAGTAAATTTTAATTCAAATGAATAACAAAATAATTAAATTAAAATCAATTTTTATTTTTGGGTTATTTGGCTTTAAGATTTTAACAAATTAATTAATTAAATTCTTAACATATTTTTATTAATAATAGCATGAAACTGCAGAATATTTTTAGAAGAGGAGAAGTTACTTTAAATTTTAAACTAGAAAAATAGCTAAACACTCAGTCACTGCATTATCGAATCTTAGATAGTCTAAGGAACAAAAAATAAAAGTAGATATTGCATTTTTAACTTAACTGAGAAGAACATTTTTATTAACTTTTTTTATAGGAAGAAGCAAAGAGAATTAAAAAAATAGCTGAATCCTGCAATCAAATGGTTTAAAGATATTTCTGGAGAAGCATGCATAAAGTGAAAAAATTCATGAAAGTTATTGAATACTAAAAGGAGTAAAAAGAAGATTAACAAAAACGTTTAGAAAATTTAGTTTCTGAATAATGGTAATTATCTATGAAGCTAGCCAAGTTACTTTAATTAACTAAGGACATTCCTGAATTGGATACTTAAAAAGCAGTAGAAGAATCTAAGGCCAAATCAAATTAAAGAGGTAAAATTTCAATTAATTGCTTTTTTTAGGTTAATAAATAAATAAATATTTTGAATTTTTAAGATCTTGAAGAAAAGTAGAAATAAGAAGCAAAAGAAGAGGAGTAGGCTAAATAAGAGGAAGAAGAAATTCAGGATTAGTAGGAAAATAAATTAAGTGCTGAAGAAGAAGAAAAATTGAAATAAGAATAAGAATAACAAGAATAATTAGCCAAAAAATTATAGGAAATTAAGAGAGAGTAAGAGGAGATAGAGAAGGAGCTTAAAAGAATTGAGGAATTAGAAAATGAATTGCTCTCAAATGAAGAGTTGGCAAAAGAATATAATATCAATATTTAATTGAAAAGAGATGGACTTAATAATTATACTTTTGACAAGATGCTCTACTCTAAGATCAATCCTTCTCCAGTTCAATCTGCTAACGATCTTGCTCCTCAGCTTTAAGAAATCGAAGAGGAAGAAGAGGAAGAAGAATTAGAGTAATCAATTATATCTATAAAACTAAACTTATTTATTCCATTAAATAAAAAGCAAATATGGAAATATAAAACTTCCTTTCCATGATTTTGAACCATAAGCTATTACTTTGAATGATGCTACAATCGTTTAGCCCTTTTTACTGAAAGGTAGACTAAGAGAATATTAATTAATTGGTTAAAACTGGCTTGCTACATTATAATAGAAGAAAATGAACGGTATTTTGGCTGATGAAATGGGTCTCGGTAAGACAATTTAGACTATATCTCTTTTGGCACATCTTGCTTGCAACAAAGTAATAAATTAAAAATTTATTTTACCTTTTTAAATAATTTTATTTATTTTTTTTGTTTTTGTTTTTAAGGGCATCTGGGGGCCACATTTAATTATTGTACCAACAAGTATTCTCATTAACTGGGAAATCGAATTTAAAAAGTGGTGTCCTGCATTTAAAATTATGACTTATTATGGATCCCCAAAAGAAAGAAAATTAAAAAGAGCAGGTTGGAGCAAAATGAACCACTTCTAAGTCTGTATTACTTCTTATAAAATTGCATTACAAGATCAAAAAATTTTCAGAAGAAAAAAATGGTATTTCATGGTCTTAGATGAAGCTCAGCACATTAAAAACTTTAAGTCTCAAAGATGGCAAGTATTGTTAAACTTTCACACAAAGCATCGTCTCCTCTTAACTGGTACACCATTATAAAATGATGTTGGTGAACTCTGGTCTTTGTTGCATTTCCTTATGCCTAGAATATTCGACTCTCACTCTGATTTTATGGAATGGTAAATTAATTAAATTTAATTTTGTCTAAACCTATAAGCATAAATAATTCACGCATTAAAATAAAATTAAAATTCTTGATTTTCTTAGATATTGTGGCAAAAATTTTTAATTTTATAAAATAAAATTATCTAAAAATTCTAATCAAAAGTTTGAAGAGTGTTTAGAATTATTATTCAATTGTAAAATTATCAAAAACAATTCACAAAAATTAATAAAAAATTATCAAAAACAATAAATCAAATTAATAAAAAATGATTTAATATCAATTCAAAAACCTAAATTAAACTGAATAATTTATTTAGATTTTAAAAAATTAATTATTTGAAATTTATTTTTTAAACTTAGGTTCTCTATTCCTATGCAGCAAGCGCTTTAGAAAAATTTACCTATTAGTCAAGAAATATTGAAAAAATTGCATTCTATTCTGAGACCCTTTTTGTTGAGAAGATTGAAGAAAGATGTGGAAAAATAACTTCCCACAAAGACTGAATATATAATAAAATGTCCTCTTTCGAGAAGGTAGAGATATCTTTATGATGAATTTATCAGTAGAGACGATACTAAGAATTCAATGAAGTAGTAAGACTTTTTGGGTTTGATGAATATTGTTATGTAACTAAAAAAAGTTTGTAATCACCCTGACTTGTTTGAAGCAAGAACTATTGAAAGTCCTTTTTCTTCAATGAAGCTAAAGCTAGTTGTTCTCTCTCACTTTTTGTATAGCACAAAGAGCAGAATCCCATTTAAATTAGATTTTATAAATAATGAACTCAATAAAACTGCTTATAATATTTAAAGGGCAAAGAGTCTGATGCCAATAGCAGATGATTTCTATGAAATGAACAATGTTCTCTTTTCAGAGGAGAACTGGCCTTCTTACATACCTTATTATGCTCAAAGATGGAGAATTTTAAAACAATTTACTAAACAGCAATCATTAAAAAGACTCTACAAATCTAACAGAGCTAGAATTCAGAGTGATCATGTTGTTTACGGCATAGATACCATCGATTTCCTAACTGTTAAACAAGCTAGAGATCCTTATATTGAAATGAGTGAATTTAAAACACTCACATTCGAATAAGCTCTTGATTCTGTAAGAGTTTTAATCAATGAATTTTCTTTTGCTCAGAGAGCTATAGCTGAACCTCCTGAGGTTATCATTACTCCCTTTGATTCAGAAAAAAATGTAAGATTTATTTTTTTCTATTTATTTTCTCTATAATATTAAATAATTCAACAAGACATTTATTTTGCTTAAAGACAATCAAAAATTTAATAGTTTTTTATGTGTTTATTCAAAGCGAAATATGTTAAAATAAATGCTATCAAACAGCAAATAAATTTTATAAAATTGATTGAAATTATTTAGAATATTTTTAGGATATGAAATAATTCAATTATTTTTTTAAAATTTAGAATTACTATTAAAGATTTAACAAGACTATGAAACAATAATTAAGTGTAGTTGCTAAAGAATTCCACTACTGCCATATAAGAAGAACTCTGTGTTTCCCTAGTAAAAAATTGCTTATGTATGACTGTGGTAAGTTAAATACTATGATTCAATTGCTTAAAAAATTAAAATAAAGAGGTGATAAAGTTCTTATTTTTACACAAGTAATTAATTAATATTTTATATTTAATAAAATTAATGTGTTAATAAATCTAATTTTGTTTATTAGATGTCAAGAATGCTTGATATTTTTGAAAATGTGCTCAACTTATTTAACTTCACATATGTCAGATTGGATGGTTCAACGAAGATTGAAAATAGATAGAAAGTTGTAGAAAGATTTAATGGCGATTCTCGTATTTTCTGCTTTATTTCTTCTACAAGAAGTGGTGGTATCGGTCTTAACTTGACTGGAGCCAACGTTGTCGTTTTCTATGATACAGATTGGAACCCTGCTATGGACAGATAAGCTTAAGACAGATGTCATAGAATCGGTTAAACTAGAAACGTCTCTATTTACAGATTGATTTCCGAATACACAATAGAAGAAAATATTCTTTTAAAGAGTATTTAAAAGAGAAAATTAGACGAATATATTATGGAAGAAGGTATGTTCAATACTCAATTTTATGAAAAGGTAATTTATTTCTTTTTTTAATGCTTTTAATTGAAAAATTTTATCTAATGATTATAGTTTGATGTAAGAGGAATTCTTGGAGGAATGCTTGGACAAGCTTAGAAAAAATAAGAAGACAATATTGTAAATTAATTAAAAGAAAATATTTTTTTAGCATTTGTAAATGAATGACTTAATTATTATTAGGATAAATCTTAAATGGAAAAAATACTTGAAAAAGTAGAAGATAAAGAAGATACTGTGGCTTTGAAAAAAGCTTAAATGGAAGAAATTGAATATGTCACAGAAGGCGCAGCAGAAGTTGCAGCGATGGATAAAGATGATGAAGAGTAAAAAGAAAAACAGTTTTCAGTCGATGTTTAGAAGTTCCCTCCTATATTTTAGTATGGCTTAAAGTATATTAAGAATGAAGAATAGTTGCATTAAAATGATGGGGAAGACAAGTTTATGGATGATGATCTATTTGATGATGATCTTGATGAAGAAGATGAAGACGAAGAAGAAGAAAATGAAGAAGAAAAAATTAAATAAACTCCTATTGAAGAAGACGATGAAGAGTTTGTGTATGAAAATGAAAATTCTGCTAAGAAAGACGATGATGAAGATGAAGATGAAAATAACAGTATACTTCCTTAGAGAAACAACAATCCTTCATTTAAGTAGAGAGGACTCGATGAGGATGATGAAGAGGAAGAAGAAGAGGATGAAGATGAAGAAGAAGAAAATGATAAAGTTAAAGAAGACGATGATATGGATGAAGAAGATTCTAAATAAGAAGGATATTATGGTGATAGAAATAAAAATAAATCACCTTCTTCAAGTCCAACAAATAAATAAGTGAAAAAATAAAGCTTTGAAGAAGATGAGGAAGAGGAAGATGAAAGTAACGAAGCTGAGACAGGCAGAGTTAGAAAGAAATCAAAGGATTCAAATAAAAGCATGGATGAAGAAGATGAAGATAATGAAGAGGAAGAAGAAGAAGTTGAAATTGAAATAGAAGAAAATGACTCTGACTCTAATAGAAAATAAAATGGTTACAAATAGTAAGATAAGAACTCTCCTTCTATACAAAAGAGCAGCCAAGAAACTAATAAAAATGAAGGAGAAGCATTTGATGAGCAAGAAATAGAAGAAGAAATTGAATCTAACAAAAATAGTGTATTAAAAAGTGGAAAGGATTCTAGTAAAGTAAAGAAGAAAGTAAGATTCTTAGATTAGGTTGAAGTTGAAGTTGAAAAATAAGCTCCTCCCCCTCCACCTGCTTCTAAATCTAGTAAAAATGATGAAGAAGAAGACGATGAAGAGAATGAAAATGAAGATATTGAAGATGATGATGAAGAAGAAGATGTTGAAGAGGAAGATAAATTTAACGATGAAGTAAAATTAATTAATTAATTAAAATTTAGCACAAACGTTTAATATTAAATTTCATATTTAAATAGGATAGAAAAAATTCTCTCAGAATA